GTGGCAAGGCCTTCAGCCGGAGCTCCAACCTCATCGAGCACCAGCGCACACACAGCGGCGAGAAGCCCTACACGTGCAGCCAGTGCCTGAAAGCCTTCAAGGGCATCTCCCAGCTCATTCACCACCAGCGCATCCACAGTGGGGAGAAGCCATTCGAGTGCAAGGAGTGTGGGAAGGCCTTCCGGGGGCGCTCGGGCCTCAGCCAGCACCGGCGGGTGCACAGTGGCGAGAAGCCCTATGAGTGCAGCGAGTGTGGGAAGACCTTCAGCCGGCGATCCAACCTCTTCAAGCACCAGGTGGTGCACAGCGAGGAGAGACCCTACAAGTGTCAAGACTGCAGGAGGGCATTCCGCAGCGGCTCCGTCCTCCTGGAGCACCAGCGCACCCACGGCAGCCTGCGGCCTAGCGCCTGCGGCCACTGCGGCCAGGCTTCCAAAGGGAAACCGCAGCTCGGCCGGAAGCCGAAAACTCACCGCAGAAGGAAGCTCTCGGAGGGAAGCAACTCAGAAAAGGCGCCAGCCTCCCTGGCCCTCTGGAGAGCCACTGAAGAGCCCCGCCCCGAAGACGAGAAACTCTGTCCAGCCTCCGCCCATGCCACCGCCCCCAGCTCCTTCTGACGGGGTGCACAGTGGGAGGCTTTAAAATGAGGCCCACGCTCCCCACCTCATCCCCCTCCCTTTGCTCGTTGATGATGCTGTGGTTGAAGCATCTAGTGCGCCGCAGGCAGACGGGCCCCTGCGCCCGTGCCGGCTCCTGTGCGGTGCGCACGGGTGTGTGTGTGCCGCCAAGGTGCACGCACATTTGTATTCCACCCTGGAGCCGCTGAAACTGCTCTTTTTGCCCCATGTGCCTGGGGCCTGAGTGCTGTTGGTGGGAGGGAGCGGGTGCCTTGAATTAGGGAGGAGTGGGGGCCGTCACTTCACCCAAAGACTTGTTAGCGTTTCCAGGTAGAAGACACGAAAAGCACTTTAATCCTTTAATAGCTTAATAGTGGGAGGGACCTGAGGGCATTCAAAATTTGTGGGCTCCACAGCGAGGCTGTGGCTGGACTGTGACATCACCTAAAATTCATCAAGAAATGGTCTGACAAAGGACTCAGGCAACTGCACGTGCCCGCGTCAGCAGCCCCTGGAGAGTGGCGTCTCCTCGGCAGGAAGGCACAGGACAGCTTGCTTCTGGGAGGAGCGGCCCCAGACCCCATCTTCTGGGAGCTCAGGGGATTCTGCCAGATGGCTGGCCTGGGCCCTACGGAGAGGCTGAGGCCTGGAGACTCTCGGCTTCTCCGCCCCAAGAGAGGAGCCCTTTGGCTCTGGTCCCTCCCAGCTGCCACCAGCTGCCCTGCTGCCTTTGGTCTCCTCCCGGCACCCTGAGCCCCTGAGCTCACCCCACCTGCTGCCTTCAGACCCTGCCTGCAAAGGCCGCACTGGCCTCTCTGCCCCTTCTCTCCACCCTCAGTGCCTAAAGCTCCAAAGTTAGCTGCTCCCCCTGCAGCAGCCGTCCCTTGTGGCTGGTGCCAAATCAGGAGGAAAGCGGCCGGCTTAGGAATTTGCACAGAGCGTGCCCAGTAATGGCTCTCTCTCCTCAGCTCTCTTTCATGTGACATTTCTTAAAATATTAGAGGTTCAGTTGCTTTGAATGTTTTTGCCTTCGGGGGTAATGTAAGTCAAAAATAGAGATTTTTGCCATATGGAAGCGTCAGGTAATCACTCCTTAAATAAGAATCTGTCCAGCTCTCTGTGAAGGCCTCAGGCAGGAGAGAGGGGGCCACCCCAGGCCTGACACCAGTTAGTGTGCTGGCCCCTCTTCTCACTCCCCCGCCCCCCCCGCCTTAGCCCCGTAGGGACACGGTGGACTCTTTACTGCAGGCCATGGGAGACTCTCCAGGGAGACCTCGTGCTGCCGGGGGGGCAGCTGCTGGCAGGTTCCACCCTGTCCTGCTCACACTGTCCCCAGAGCTGGGACCAGGAGCTCTGCCACTTGCCATTCTCAGCCTGGCGTCCCAGTTGGCTCGCCACCTCCTTCCAGTCCCCTTCACCACCGCCACAGGCTGCCCAAGGGCAGGTGGATGTGATGGAGGCCCCCCACTGGGCCTTTGCGAAGAGCTCACTTTCCCTGCCAGACAGGGGAGGGCCAGACACCTGTTATCAGGAGGGTGTGGGAAAGCCTGGAAATACAGGGCTCCTTCTGCGCATGCTGCTTGGAGCTCCAACTGCTAGGACAACTCCAGAGGTGAGAGAGATAGAGATCGAGGAGTTTTATATAGATAGAGAAGTTTTATATAGATATATTAAAATGACTGTACACACTTGTGACTTACGGAAAGTTCCAGAGTTGTAACTTGCTCTTGTCTCATAGCCTCCTTGTGCTCTGCGTGTCACGTTTTCTTTGAGCCCAGAGCTTGGCTCTTAGTAAATACTTGTGAAATGAGTGTTGCCCCCTTAGCACATTGAACTCAGGTTCTAGACCACAGTCGGCTCCAGCCTTACCTTGTGGCAGTGGAAAGTATCTGCAACCTTGGTAAGGTAGCTGGGAAGCATGTGTTTATATGAGGTGCCCACAATGTTTGCTCAGCCGGCAGGGCTTCAGTAAACCAGTCCCCACGCAGGGCAGGGGACGGTGCCTGAGGCCTTGTGCTTGGGCTCCGGTCTCTTTTTTGTTCAGCCGGGGCTGCCTAGGATTGGGGCAACAATTGCTACGTGACAGGCCCCGGTAAGAGCATAGATCCGTGCGCACTGCTGCCCATTTCCATCACTCTAGGAAGTGAACAGTTTCGCTCTTATGGGCCAGTCAGTAACCAACTTTTAATAAAGAAGAGTTGTATCTCCCCAGCATAGCATCATCCCATTGGTTCTACTGGATAAGCTAACTCGATTTTTAACGTGAGTGCCTTTTTTTCACCTTGGACCCACCCAGAGATGACTAGATACTGGGGGCGGGGGTTGTGATGTCCAGTGCTTTCAACAGAAAGTGGACTTGCCGGGAGAGATGCCAGGCACCTGCACTCCGGTCTCGGAGTGCCCTGAAAGGCTCCAAGGTCTCCAAATGCTTACCCAGATACATGACATTTATAATAGTAATGCATCTTTGGTTTGTCCGTTCTGCATCTAACCTCACTCCTGATCATTAGATGTTTACTCTGATGCAGTTTTTTTTTTTGTTTTTTGGGGTTTCTTTTGCGGTACGCGGGCCTCTCACTGCTGTGGCCTCTCCCGCTGTGGAGCACAGGCTCCGGATGCGCAGGCTCAGCGGCCATGGCTCACGGGCCCAGTCGCTCCGCGGCATGTGGGATCTTCCCGGACCGGGGCACGAACCCGTGTCCCCGTGTCCCCTGCATCGGCAGGCGGACTCTCAACCACTGCGCCACCAGGGAAGCCCCTGATGCAGTTCTCAGTATCATTTTCTTTTAGATGTGGTCATCAATCAGATGTGCAACAGGATCTGAACGGGTGTCGTGTGGAATCAGCCAGAGAGTGTCTGGAGAGGATGCTTGCATTTTTCCCTCTACAGTGCCTTGAAATAGGTCTCCCACCAGGCAGGGTGGGGGACTGTGATGTGGCCCACACTTGCTTTCTGACGACGACTGGAGTATAAAAGCTGAGACTCTTGGGGGGTGTCCTGTCTGTTTTCCAGGCCCCCCACCACCACCACCACAACGTCCCTGGATGCCAGCCCCTTCACACTCCCGCTCCAGAGATGAACTTGCAGGACGCTGGACCAGCCCATAGCACATCATTTGCTCTTTGAAACTTTGGACACTTTTCAAGAGCTGTTTAAGTGCCGTGGAGTATCTTCACGTAACTGTTAAACTGTCCCAACTGAATTCATTTACTTTGGGTGCAGACAAATAAGGAAGGTCTGGGTGTTGGCCTTGAACGGCACCCTCTGGTGGAGACGGCATCTATTGCGGTTTGAAGTAACGGCTAGCAGTTGGGTGAAAGGTCTCAGGAAAGGCCGCTGACCTAGACGTGGGGGGAAGACGAGAGAGCATGTCTGGGCGCCCCTTGGCCCCTGCAAAGGGAAGGTGGGAACCCTTGAAGTGGAGCTGCACGGGGACCAAGGGCAGCCACCCTGAAACAGCATGGATGGTGTCTTACAACCTTTGCTTAGATTGCCTGCAAGACTTGCTCTGCTTTGTGAAGCTGCCAGGACCCCCCACACACACACTCCCTTCCTCAGCGGCAGGACACAGTGGCTTTCAGTTGGGGCTGCTAAGTCTGCGCCTGGTTAGGTAGCAAGGGGTAACACGCCGTCTCTGGAGGTCAGGGTAGGACTAAGTAGCAGGTGAACTCTCAGGACAGGAAGCAGAGGTCGAGGGACTTCCAGTGGGTTGGAGTAAAGCACAGGGAGCGTGTGGTGCTTTCAGGAACCCTAGAAGGGCAGAGGGCTTTCTGTAGGGCAGTCATAGGGTAAAAGGTCATTAGAACCAGAGGGCAGAGAGCCAGGGATGCCAGATAAAGAAGTTTGGTCTCTAGCTGGTTCCTGAGGAGAAGCAATTCTTTAAAAAACATGAAAGAATTATTCTAAGATCAAGGAGGAAAAAAGTTGACGCAGATGATAACTGCTGGAGTGTGTGAATTTACACATGGATGACCACCAAGTATGCACACTAGAGTCACCTAGACAGCTCTGATGCTCACTGGGTGTTCACCCATGGGAATGAATGGCGGCAGCCCACCACTCATGATGCTTTGACATGAGCAGCCTCAAATGGCACTTTGGGGAACTCCCACCCCGCCCCACATAACTCTCACTTGCCCTGGTAGTTATGACAAATATCTGGAAAACTTAGGTCGTTTTCTCTTATGCTAGCCTCAGTGTGTGCATGACTTCACAACACAGGGGCCCTCCAGGATTCGAAGGTTGCTGATTCTTATCTTTCTTGACAGCCTTATAGACGTATAATTGGTGTACAAGAAACTTCACATATTTAAATTGTACAATTGGATGAGTTTTGACGGGTATCCACCTGTAAAACCATCACAGCAATGAAGACGGTAAACATACGCCCATCACCCTGGAAAGTTGCCTTGTCCCCGGGGTGCGCCCTCCTTCCTGCGCCTTCCTCCCCCCACCCTGTCCCCACAACCACTGCCCTTTCTATCAGTACACATTAGTTTGCCTTTCCTAGAATTCTTGTTAATGGAATCATGCGGTATGCACTCTTCTTGCCTGGCCTCTTAGTATAATGATTTTGAAGTTCATCCAGGGTGTCGTGTGTATATCAATCCTTCATTTTCTATTGCTGAGTACTATTCCATTGTGTGGATGGACCACAATGCCTGTTGATGGACATTTGGGTTGTTTCCAGGTTTTGGCCTTCACAAATAAAGCTGCTGTGAACATTTGTGTGCAAGTTTTTGTGTGGACAGATGTTTTCCTTTCTCTTGGGTATATAGCTAGGAGTGGAATTGCTGGGTCACATGGTAACTCTATGTTCAACTGTTTTCCAAAGCAGTCGCATCATGCTACCTTCGCACCAGCAGTGTATGAGGGGTCCAGTTTTCCATGTCGTCTGCAACACTTGTTTTTGTCCATCTTTTTGATTCTAGGCCTCCTGGTGGGTGTGAAGTGGTGTCACGTTGCTTTTGATTTGCATTTTCCCTGATGACTAATGATG